GGAAGTGTATGAATATATAAAAACATTATCCTGTTGTAATTTCTGGCTCTCTCTAACCTGCCAAACTACTTTTATTGTGCTTTTCTCTCATGTCATGTTTGTTTCTGGTCTTTCTTTGTTTGTCTTTCTCATTGTTGCTGTATTGTTCTGCATGGCTTGCTTGCAGATTGTGGAGGTGTGCATCCTATCAATGAAAAACAATAGTGGGAAATGGTAAACAACTTGATGGTGGGAGAAAAAGGCAGATCATCAAAGGCTTTTGGGCAAACCAAGAGAAAGATGCTGAAACAATAAGGTTCAGGGGAAAGAGAGTTGATGATTAATCTGTAGTAAAGACCAATTGGTTTGCAAGTAAGTATGGAGCTATAGATTTTGAAGAAGTCAATGCTGAAGATAACACATCATGGACCCTGAGTATCACTTGAGGAATGCAGAGAACTTACAGTGGTTCAAACAATTAGAAATAAAAAGTTACTTACATTTTTTAGAACTGTTAGAATTATGATTAGTCATCATCTCATTAGTAACAGATCAGGCTGAAGGGGATGAATGGTCTTTTCCAGTTCCTCCGTGCAACTCAATTTAGGAAATAAGAGAGACCAAGAGAGAATATGAGAAAAAACTGGTCAAGTCTTCTAAAGGCATATAAGCAAACTCAGCAACTACAGCTAGTCAGTTTCTCTGCTCCTATGATGCTGCTTGGCCTGCTGTGTTCATCCAGCCCTGCACCTTGTTGTCTCAGTTTCACCTTAGTTGTAGCAAAGCTTCTAGAGACCATGATCTAGAACAAAGTTAACAATCACTTGGACAAATGTCTGTTAATTAAGGGAAGCCAGCATAGATTTGTTAAAGGGAACAAATGTTTAACTAATTTGATTGAGCTGTTTGATGAGTTAACAGTGAGGGTTGATGAGGATAATGCAATTAACATTAACTGTTCTGTTAACAAACTTCCAAAGGTTGTTTCATAAAAGTGAAATATGACAGGCATGTCAGTGTAACTGAAATGCATGGAACATGGAGGAACAGTGGCATCTTGAATATGAAGTTGGTTTGAATGGCAGGAAACAAAGAGTTATGGTGAATGGTTGTTTCACACTGGAGAAAGCAGTACAGTGAATTTGCCAGGGTTAGTGTTGGAACCATTGCTTGATGTGTATTAATGACCTGGATGTGAACGTGCAGGACAGGAGTTGAAAATTTGCAGACTATGCAAAAACCTGGAAGTCTTGTGAATTGTGAAAAAGATAGTGATACACTTCAAAAGGACATTTACAGCCTGGCGGAATATGAGGACACATGCCAGATGAGATTTAATGCAGTACCTATGAAGGCAATAAATAATAATAATTTTTCATTCAGGCATCAGGCTGTCGATGACTAGGCCAGCATGTATTGCCCACTTTTAAAATCCTTGAGGTGATGGTGGTGAGCTGCCTTCTTGAACCAGGATGTGGAGGTGCTGGTGTTGGATTAGGGTGGACAAGGTCAGAAATCACGCGACACCAGATTATAGTCCAACAGGTTTATTTGAAAACACAAACTTTTGGAGCATGGCCCCTTCGTCAGAAGTGAGAAATAAGCACACGGAACACAGCATTTATAAGTAAAAGATCATAAATGTTAATCCCCGAATTTCTTTGAAGTCACTGCCCTGAGAGAACTAGACGTGTAAGGAAGAGGTGACATTTTAGGTCAAATGCAGGTTAGGTGTGAGGCCTTGTTTAGAATCTGTTTGTGTTTCGATTTGGAGTCAGACTGGTTTTATTTCTAAAGTAGGAATTTATAAAACACCACATTGACTGACTGTCTATAAATGGTGCGCTTTTTGAACAAAATAGAATGTATCTACAAATACAAATTCACCCCATAGATACATACACATATTAATCAATTAAAACCTTCTAACTGATTAAAGATTTAACAGCATCTTAGGTTTGTTTAATACATCCTCATCAGTTGTGTGACCCTTTAATCTGTTACTTATAAATTCCGTGTTCTGTGTGCTTCTTTCTCACTTCACCTGACAAAGAGGCCACGCTCCAAAAGCTTGTGATTTCAAACAAACCTGTTGGACCATAACCTGGTGTCACGTGATTTCTGACCTTGTCCACCCTAATCTATAACCTGGGGTCATGTGATTTCTTGAGTCAGTGCAGTTCATTTGGTGTAGAGACACTTTCAATGTTGTTAGTCAAGGTATTCCAGGATTTTGACCCAGTCACACAGAAGGATCAGTGATATAGTTGTAAGCTACATTCTAAGTTTTGCCATTGCACATTCAGGAATGTTGGTTCTAAGTCACAATGATGAGGCTTGAAGGGGAACTTGCAGGTGGTGGTGTTCCTACGTATCTTTTGTTCTTGTTCTAGATGGAAGTGGTCATAGGTATGGAAGGTGCTGTTAAAGGAGCTTCGGTGAATTTCAGCACTACATCTTGTGGATGGTTCACTCTGCTACTACTGAGCATCAATAGTGGACAGAGTGGGTGCTTGCAGATGTTGTGCCAATCAAGCAGACTGTTTTGTCCTGGATGGTGTTAAGCTTCTGAGTGTTGTTGGACCTGCACTCATCCAGGCAAGTGGGGAGTATTCCATTACACTCCTGACTTGTGCCTTGTGGATGGTGGGCAGGTTTTGGGGAGTCAGGAGGTGATTTACTCACTTCAGTATCCCCAGCTTCTGACCTGCTTTTGTAGCCAAAGAATTTATATGACTAGTTCTGTTCAGTTTTGGTCTGATAAAACCCAGGTTGTTGATTGCAGCAGATTCAATTATGGTAATACCGTTGAATATCAGGGCACAATGATTAGATTTTTGCTAGAAATGGTCATTGACTGGCATTTGTGTGGCTTGAATATTATTTACCAGCTGTCACTCTAAACTTGGATACTGGCCAAATCTTGCAGCATTTGGACATGGACTGCTTCAGTTTCTGAGGAGTTGCGGATGGTGTTGAACATTGTGCAACCTCAGCAAACATCCCCATTTCCGACCTTATGATAGAGGGAAGGTCATTGATGAAGCAGCTGAAGATGGTCGGGCCGAGAACACTATCCAGAAGAACTCTTGCAGAGCCGTCCTGGAGCTGAGATGACTGATCTGTCAACCATCTTCCAACGTGCCAGGTATGACTCCAACAGCAGAACATTTTCTCACTGATTCCCATTGACTCCAGTTTTGCTAGGGCCCCTTGTTCCCATACGGTCACATGTAGATTCAATGTAAAGGGCAGTCATTCTCACCTCACCTCTGGAATTCAGCTCTTTGTCCATATATGAACCAAGGCAGTAATGAGGTCAGGAATGGGTGGCCCTGGTGGAACCCAAACTGGACATCAAATAGCAGGTTATTGCTAAACAGGTGCTACCTAATTGCAATTTTGATACAATTGATACCGAGCTAAAAGGATACAGGAGCAGAGGGACCTTGTTGTATATGTGCATAAATCATTGGAAGTGTTCTAACAGATTGAAAAATGTGGTTGAAGAGGAATAATGGATAATTGGGTTTGTGGTGTTTACACTTTTGATGTGCATATGACCATGCTCATCACCTGGGGCTGTGTTCCAGTAAATGGCTGAACTGTTCCTAACAGCTTCTTCTACAAATAGACCAGGATACTATAGATAAGTGAGATTTGGATGAGTTGCTGTTTTGGAATGATCTTACTATACATTTTTTCTCCACGTTGGTATGCACTTGTTTTCAAAGGAATTTGTACCTTTTTATGTGTGGGTGTGCATGTGTGCGTCTTCTGAGTTTCATCAATAGAGGCATGGAAGCAAATGGATAAGCACCTGAAGAGCAGGCAAGGGTGGGGAGATGGGATAACACAGTGTGGAGCTGGAGGAACACAGCAGGCCCGGCAGCATCAGAGGAGCAGGAAAGTTGACGTTTCGGGTCAGAAATGGGGAGGGGTAAGTGAGCTGGGAAATAAATAGAGACGAGGGATGGGGCTGGGGAAGGTAGATGGGATGGTGATAGGTAGTGGTGGGGTTTGGTCAGTGGGATGGATGGGGTGGATAGGTGGGAGAGAAGATGGACAAGTTGTGTAGGGTCAAGGAGGCAGGGATGAGGGGGAAGCTTGGACATGGGATGAGGCCGGGGGTGGGGAGATCTTAAAACTGGTGAATTCCATGATTAAGCCATTGAGCTGTAGGCTCCTGAGGTGGAATATGAAGTGTTGCTCCTCCAGTTTACGTGTGGTGTCATTGTGACACTGGAGGAGGCCCAGGATGGACATGTCACCCAGGGAGTTGGAGGGAGAGTTAAAATGGTTGACGACCTGAAGGTGTTGTCGTTTGTCACGTACAGAGCGCAGATGCTCTACAAAGCGGTCTCTGAGTCTACGCTTGGTCTCACTGATGTCGAGGAGCCCACATTGGGAGCAGCGGGTACAGTAGACCAAGTTGACAGATGTGCAGGTGAATCTCTAGCTGATATGGAAGGTTTGTTTTGTGCCTTGAATGGAGGTGAGGAGGGAGGTTTAGGGGCAGGTGTAGCACTTCCTGCGGTTGCAGGGAAAGGTGGTGGGGTGAGTGGGGAGTCTAGCTGACAAAGGAGCCACGGAGAGCGGTCCTTATGAAAGGTAGATAGGGGTGGGGAGGGATAGATCTCTTTGGTCGTGGGGTTGGATTATAGCTTTAAGTCATTTGTCGCGTACAGAGCGCAGATGCTCCACAAAAGGTCTCTGAGTCTACTTTCCTGCTCCACTGAATCTGCCTGGCCTGCTGTGTACCTCCAGCTCCACACTGTGTTACCTCTGACCCCAGCATCTGCAGTTCTTGCTGTCTCTCGGAGAGATGAGAGTTGCTGTCGCAGAGAGCTGGCATGAACACGATGGGCCAAATGTCAGTGGGCTGTGATTCATTGTGAGCTGACGTCCTGTAGTTGGCGCCGTGACGCAGCGTCATATCCGCCCTCTTTCCACGGGGGTTGTTGTGGTTTCCATGGGAACGAGGGGCGGGTTGGGGGCGGAGCGCGGTGGTTGGTGGGACGGTGGAGGACCGCTGGTCCCGGTCAGTCAGTCAGTCAGTGTGTGATTGAGGGAGGACGGGATGTCGGTTAGCGAACAGAGCCTGGCATCGCCGCCGTTGTCTCCCCTTCAGGCTCCGCGGCAGGAGGAGGCGGCGGCCGTAGCCGGCCTCAGTACCAGGATGCCGGCTTGGAAAAAGGAGATCCTGGAGAGGCGGAAGGCCAAGTTGGCGAACCCGGCGGCGGATGGCCGGACCTGGATCCCGAGCCGGGCGGCGTCCCATAGCAACCAGACAGAGCTGGAGCCGAGCCCGGAGGCAGCGGGCGGTGCGTCCGGTTCCGAGGCCGGGGGCTCCGTGCTGCTGGAGAACATCGCTCCCGTCCAGGAGAACCCGTTCATTCAGCGGGAGCGGCGGAGGAGGCGGCGGTTGCAGGCGGAGAGCGAGTCCTCGGGGGTGGGAGGCGGTGGGGGTCTGGGCCAGGATCCGGCCAAGCCACTGCAGCAACTTCTCGAGTTGTACAGCCACATGCCGGGGGTCCGCACCATCCAGGCCGACAACATCATCATCATCGAGTCAGACCCGAATTATTTCAGTGAGCCGGGCAGCCCGTCCCGGACCCGGACCCAACCTCAGTCCCAGCCCCAGGATGTCGAGCAGCTGCTGTCCCGGGCCGGGCACGGCAGTGTGGCCGAGATCCGAGCCGCCGAGGTGCTGGTCTACGATGGCACGCTGAGCCGTAGTGAGGAGAACCTGAGCAGCCTGGGCAGCGGAGATGCCGGCCCCCCGGGCGGCCTGCACGGGAAAGTCAGCCGCCTGCTCGAGAAGTTCGACCGCAACTACGTGAAGCCAAGCCGGTCGCGGAGCACGGAGAACCTGCTGGACGGCTTCTCCCCTTCCCGGGACCGGCCCCGAAAGCCTCTCCTGTTGCCAAAGCCCCCCTCTCTCCGCCAACTCGGCCAAGGGCCAACCAGTCCAGGCCCCAAGGGGATCCACTCTCCTGGCCCTCACCTGTCACCCCCGCCTCAGCCCACATCTTTCCCGCTGTCGTCGCCGACCAGATTCTCTGGTCCCTCATCTCCGGTGCGCACGCCTTCTGTCCCCTCTGTGTCCTCACACAACCAGGGAGATGCTAAGCTGGCTGCCAGTGACAGGACTGAGCCTGGAGGCAGACCCTTTTCTGTATCCTCTTATCGCAAGCATTTCGAGAGTGGACCTGCTAATCGGCAACTCAGGCCGAAAGAGTCAACCCCAAGTCACTCTCCTGCTCACCAAAACGGCGAGAACATCTCGAAGGATCGGATCATCAAGAATAAGGTAATAGAGAACGGTCTCCGAGATCTCGATTTAATGGGGACCAATTCATTTTCTGTGAATGGAGGAGAAATGGACAGAAAGGACCGAATGGATGCAAATGTACTTGGAAGTGGCTGGATGCCATCTTCTGTCAGTGCTGCCAGCAGTGAGGTTTCCAAGGTGCGTGCATTTGATCAGAGGAATGCTTCAAAATCAAGTCCTGAGAGACCCCAGCCTGCTGTAGCTTCCAAATCTTTACCAGCAAAATCCAGTGCCACTCCCTCAGGGAAGATGAACCAGGACCACAAAGTGGCAAGTTCAGCCAAAGTAACTTCAAACCAATGCAATGGTGTATCTGCTTCCACCAGTCTGAATGACTCCTTTGAAATCATACCTGCCACACCTCCAGATGTTTCATCCATTCCGGAAGAGGATATCCAGGCAAGGGCACTGGCAAACCTCAAAAAACAGTCGAAGAACTCATTTGTTGTGATTCCAAAGAAGAGGGTGAGTGTCTCTGTATCATCCAGTGATGTTTGTGATTATAGGGAAGCAAACAATGAATCTTGTGAAAAGCCAAAAATTGAAATTAGTACTTCCAATTCTGAAGCTCAAACAGACCGGGTCTCTGCTGTTTCCCTGGATAGGATCAGCCTATCTGACCATGAACAGAGTACAGAAGGAAAATTACCTTTCAGAGAGCCTTCTCTTCCCAAAGCAGATCTTGAGCCAAAGGAAGAAGAAGTCATGAATAAATCAACATCATGCAGTACCTATGAAGTTTCTTGTAAGCATATAAATGCTCAGGTTTCAGTCGAGAAAGAAAGACCAGGCTTATTGCCTACTCCAATGTCTGAAGCAGAGCAGAAAGCTGAATCCACTGTAACCCTCGTAAAAATGACAGCTCGGAATGACAATGACCTCCCAGTCACTAACATAGATGATATCTTGGGAACAGGAGAGAAAGAGACCCCCAAACAACCAAGCAAGGCCAAATCAGCTGGAGCAAAGGACAAGCTTCCTGAGGAAACTGTGGGTGGCCTGCACCACCCCTTTCTGCAGCGAAAGAGTGGAAACACTTTCACCATTGTTCCTCAACGCAAGCCAGCGAGCAGAGCCCAGCAGCCCTCTGTAGACACAAATGAGGTTTCTCAGGCAAATGGGACTCATGAGCAGACAGTGGAAGATCCTGAACCATCACTTGCCAAACTGGGGGTATTGTTAAAGAAACGCTATCCTCTTGCTGAGGAGATACAAGTGATTGGAGGGTATCTGTCGTTGGAACGATCCTGTTTATCCAAGGCTGGTTCCACGAGGAAGAAGGTAAGCTTACTGTTTCAAATAACGTCCTTGGTTTCACATGCCCTCGGCACTAATTCTGTTGGATTTCACCCAGAGTAGTTCTCCAGAGTGAAAGTTTTCTTTTCACTTTGTATCCCTGAATATACTAGAGTACGGCAATTGCAAAATGGTTATTCAGCTCTGATGAAGAGTCAATTAGACTTGAAACATTATCTTGCTCTCTTTCCATGGATACTACCTGACCCACTGTGATTTCCAGCATTTTTTTTATTTTCAATCACAAAGTGGTATTGCTTCATAAAATCGTGGTAAAATGCAACATAAAAAAAACTCTTGCATAAAGAGTGGTTAGGGTCTGGAACACAGAATCTGAATGTAGTGTAGTCTTGTAGGTTTCCAATGGGATGGGATTTGGATAATTATTCAAGGAAATGAAATTTATAGGGCTACAGGGAAAAGAAAAAGGGATGGGTTTGGCTGAGTAGCCTCCAGAGATCTATGGAATGACCAACTTCTGTGTTGTTACAATTCTCTATGATTCTATTTAAGCTTGTCATTATTATTTGGGTCACTTGAGTTGATATTTATCCCACGAAGGGGAACATTTGGAGTTTAATTTAGCTGATGACTGCTTTTACCATGAAGGTAATAATAACTTGGAGCTGCTCAAAGTTCAACTTTGCTCATCATTTCAGAAACCACAATCGTATTTGAAATGTAGATTCTTTCATTAATCCTTGCTGACAGTCTTCATTCCGTTTACTGCATTGACTTTGAGAATTCTGAGCAGCCAGCATTTGGGCTGAACAAACTTGCTGCTAGGTTTAGCATTTTGTGGATTTTAGTTCTTATAGATATTTTTAACTCATTCACAGGAGGTTAGCAGACCAAAAGAAGCATCCTTAATTGCCCTTAACCCATGTATTCTGGGTAAAGTAGGTGCTTCTGCAATGAGCCAAAACAGTATTCTTTCAGGACGGTTTGTTTTCTTGAAGGCTATTATTTGATTTTCAAAAGCTACTTGAAGGTAACACAGGTAGAAGATTTAAGTTGGAAACTGAATTGCTATTGAAGCAGGAATTAGCAAACATTCTCTACACCTACATTAAAGGATGTTAAAATAACAAGAGACTTGTTACGTATCCAACAACAATTAAACAGATTTTCTTCATTTTGTGACGTCCACTCAACCCGTTGTCTTCTGTCACTGATTTAAATCAGACTTGAATGAACCTTATTGTTCCAGTTATAGTTTATCCACTTGAAAGCAAGACACAAAAGGAGGGTTTTAAAGGGGAAAAAAATAAGTTGAGAAATCCTATTGATGAATTAAGCTGCAAGTTAGCAATTTTTGCTCTCATCCTCTACCTTGCTGTGATGGGCCTTGTGCTTCCTCAATCCTCTGTCTTGCTCCTTACAGCATCTCCCTTATTTTCCCCTCTCTTTCACATTCTTTCTCACACACTCTTGCTTTCTCATTATGCGTGCATTCGTATTATGTTATGATAACAAAGATATACAGCTGTAACAAATCTGCCTTTCTACGACTGTATTTTCAGCCCTCAAAGTTGACCCCAGTGGTTCTTAACCACATTTTTGAATAACCAATCTGAGAGTCACCAGTTTGAATCTTAAACAAAAAACTTGGCAATTTATTAACAGTACAGTAACTTCAGCAGAGCAAAACTTAACCTGAAACAACAGCTAACTCTTCATCCATTCCTTTATCTACCCAAATGTTTTCCCTCTCTCTCTCGCTCTCGCCTCTCTTGCTCACCTCTACCTATTATTTACTCCTCCTCCCTCTTCCACCCATCCTTAGCATATATACCAAACGTTTCCTAGCTTCAATCACTTTTGAAGAAGGGTCAGTGGACCTCAAACCTTAACTCTACTTTCTCTCAGCAGATGCTATCAGACCTGCCGAATTTTCCCAGCAATTTGTTTTTGTCCCAGGGACTGATCTCATTAATAAACAACTTCTGCTATTTGTTTAAACATAATGCTCTTCCCCAGTGATGAAGCATCTGCAGAACCTTTTTAATCAGGAACCAATCTGCAATTAACTTCTAGACCTAGCTCATGAATAAAAAAGAAAAAAGCTTGTGTGGTTTTGTTTTCCTCTTAACACATGCTGTTACCATTAGGTCCAAAAGTCATCTTTATCTCACAGTTCACAGCTCCAAATCCAAAATTGATAAAAGAATAAAATAAAAATGATGAAAAATCTGCAACGTTTTTAACAATTCATAGCTGGAGCAGCACAGCATCTTGGCTTTCCTATCTCGATAGGTGGTGGTGCTTAGAACCCAGTTTGCTTTCTTCTGTCTTCATTTTGAAAGTTAACTGGCAGGGTTGTTATTACTGTGTAGGGATGGGGTGTGGACTATTTATTTTGAAATAATTAAAAATAGACTTCCCTAAGTGCATCAATTCTGGCAGCTACCAAAAACTGTTTCCTCCCCTCCCACCTTTCCCACTCAAAAGCATCCTGAAAGGACTTTTTTTAAAAAAAAAAAAATCCAATAGGAGAAAGAGTGGTGTCAGCTATTCATTGACTGCCAAATTCTGATGTTCTGCTTGGAAATAATTGTCATTTCAACTTGTAGCAACATTTATTTGTGGCTTTAATTCTTATGGCTCTCTCAAGCGTGCACTTGCTCCAACTCCTCCAGCCTTAGGTTCTTCCCCTTGTCCCTTTGCTGTTCCTCCAATCATAGGTTCTGTTTTTGGTGGAGCAACAAGCATGGGATAGAAGGAATGAGCTGGACTGTGAGCATGGGTGAGATAGAACCAGTGATTTGAGAAGCAGCTCCTCTTCCATGCTCACTGCTTCGTGACCCGTTTTCCTGCTACCAATGAGAAGTCTGAACCTGCTATTCTTCTCCATATGGACAATGGAGAGCCCATAATGTAAATCAATATTGTGTGTGGCGTCCTTTCTAGAATTTTTCCCCATATATTTGTTTGCTTGTGGGCTGCTTGTGATATTTCAATGGCAAGCTAGTATGTTACCTCTGTGTATTTTGAATCCTGACTTCAATACTGTTGGGATTGGAGTTCCAGGGTATTGACTCAGCCACTGTATAGGCTTGGCAATAGTCTTCCAAGTCAGGATAGTGTGTGGTTTTGAGGGGAATTTGCAGGTTGTAGTATTCCCATGCTTCTGCTGCCCTTGTCCTGGGTGGCCAAGGCTGTGAATTCAGAATGCTGCTGCTATGAATCAATGGTAGGGTGAGTGAACACTAATAAAGATTTTGCCTTTTTCTTTCATAATGGGGCAAATTGTTTTTGTTATCTCCTCCAGAACCTTGGAGCCGAGTAATAACATTCTTATTTGCTTAAAGTGATTTGCACTTGAGCATTCTTGCTGTTGTAGTTCAAAGCTTACCCTTCCTGTAGGATCTATATCAGGAAGGTTTTCAGTGCCAGTCTCCTATTCCTGGACCCAAAGAATATTTGGTGGATATTGGTCAGGGCATTTTCTGCATATGGAAGGTAGGCAGTGGGTGAATTGAGCAGATCATCTCGGAGTAGGTCAGTATGATGCAGCATGAATGGTTTCAACTAGCTTGTGGGTTTTCATCAGCCAGCTGATGTGGGGTGGAGATGGGCGTTGTTGATGTTTGGGGTGTTACTCAAAGGATTCCGGTTATGACTAATATGGTTGCACTCGATTGAGCGGCAACAAGATGCATGTGTGATGATCTTTCTCAGACAGGGGTGCAGTGCACTGGTGCGGAGTCTGAAAGGGCAGGTGCTGAGGTCAGGTGTGATAGCAGCACCTAAAGTAGATCTAACAAGTTTCTACTCCGAGATAGTAGGTCTGAAGAAGGGTCTAGGCCCGAAACGTCAACCTTCCTGCTCCTCTGATGCTGCTTGGCCTGCTGTGTTCATCAGCTCTACACCTTGGTATCTTAAGTTTTGTACTCGGTTGTTTCTAGTTTTGCTGCTTTCTTCAGATGCCCCAGAGAAGAATGCCTTGTCTAGAGTCATTCCCAAGTATGTTGGGTTGGGTTCATGCTTTAGACTTTGACCATTTGATCTTTGATCAGCAATTATTTCTTGTCACTGTTGAGGTGGATTGCACCGGATATGGTTTTTGGAATTCAACTTGAGACGATATGTGGCACAATTGTATGCCAACATTGGAGCATCTTCATCTGAGATATAGAAGGATGGAGCTTGGGTGGTACATTAAATATCATCAGCACAGGTGAACTTGAGATGTGGTTGTTGGTGGGTCATCTGTTCAAAGGCTAGATTGGAAATTGTGTGACACTTAGCAACAGTGATGATGAATCTATCACAAATATTCGTGGGTGGGGATTTTCATCTGAATTTGAGTTGTGGCTTCAAAACCCATGTAGAGAATTGTAGGGAAAAAAAAACTATTTTCTAATCAACCCATTCAGAGATATTATTACGTATCTCTGGAACAGGTGGGACTTGAACGTAGGCCTCCTGGCTCAAGGGTAGGGATACTACCACTACGATACAAGAGCCCATTAAATACCACAAGCTCGTTGCTTGTTGGATAGATATTTTAAATGTCTCTGTTCTGAGATGTTATTACACACCTCTAGAGTAAGTGGGACTTGATCCTGGCTCAGAGGTAGGGACACTACCACTGCACCAAATTGCAGAAACTTACCCCTGAGATCATTTGTTTAGAGTATTGCAGAGAATCTCTCCGTTCTGCTGTTGGAATTTTCAGATCACGATGAACACAGTGTCAAGTGCTGTTGTTCCATTATTTCTTCATTTGCCATTTGCAATGAGATGACTTACATGAAGTACACCTGCACATGAGAAGTGGTCAGTAAACATGTTGCACAACTGTAGGTCAGAGCCATCTTCTAATGTGAAGTACGCCTGTGTGTGGGAAATGTGTGCTGGGACATGTCGAAGAACAAAATGTAAGGGCAGGTATTGTCAGGGGCATATTTTATGTTGCATATGTAGTGGGTGTGTGTTGGGAAATGCATTGCCATTGTGAGGAGTGGGCATTGTGATATGTG